TGTCATGTTCCTGATTTTAATGGAAATGCTTTGAGCTTCTCTCCATTCAATTTGATGTTAGCTGTCTGCTTGCTGTACATTGCTTTTATTATATTTAGGTATGATCCTTGTATCCCCAGTCTCTCCAACACCTTTATCATAAATGGGTGTTGAATTTTGTCATATACTTTTTCAACATCCAATGAAATGATCATATGGTTTTTTTTTTCAGTTTATTTATATGATGGATTGCATTGATCGATTTTCTTATGTTGAACCAGCCCTGCATCTCTGGGATGAAGCCTACTTGATCATAATGGATAATTTTTCTAATGTGTTCTTGGAGTCGGTTTGCCAGTATTTTATTGAGAATTTTTGCGTCGAAGTTCATGAGTGAGATTGGCCTGTAATTCTCTTTCTTGGTTGTGTCTTTGTGTGGTTTTGGTATCAGGGTAACTGTAGCTTCATAAAAGGAGTTTGGCAATGACTCTTCTGTTTCTATATTGTGGAATACATTAAGGAGTATAGGTATTAGCTCTTCCTGGAAGTTCTGGTAGAATTCTGCATTGAAACCATCTGGTCCTGGGCTATTTTTGGTAGGGAGATTTTGGATAACAGCTTCTAATTCTTCACGACTAACGGGTCTATTTAGATTGTTCATCTGTTCTTGGTTCAACTTTGCTATATGGTACTTATCTAAAAAGATGTCCATTTCTTTTACATTTTCCAGCTTTGTGGCATATAAACTTTCGTAGTAAGATCTAATGATTCTCTGAATTTCCTTTGTGTCTGTGGTTATGTCCCCCTTTTCATTTCTGATCTTATTAATTTGCATGTTCTCTCTATGCCGTTTGATTAATTTGGCTAGGGGTTTGTCAATATTGTTGATTTTCTCCAAGAACCACCTTTTTGTTTCATTGATTATTTGGATTGTTTTCTGTGTTTCTATTTTGTTGATTTCAGCCCTCAATTTGATTATTTCCAGTCTTCTAGACCTCCTGGGTGAATCAGCTTCTTTTTTTCTAGAGCTTTCAAGTGTGCTGTTAAGTCTCCAATGTGTGCTTTCTCCGTTTTCTTTAATTGGGCACTTAGTGCTATGAACTTTCCTCTTAGCACTGCTTTCATAGTGTCCCATAGGTTTGAGTATGTTGTGTGTTTATTTTCATTAAATTCAAGGAAGACTTTAATTTCTTTCTTTATTTTTTCCTTGACCCAGGGGTGATTTAATAGTAGACAGTTAAACTTCCATGAGTTTGATGGCTTCCTGGGGGTAGCATTGTTGTTGAATACTAACTTTATTCCATGGTGATCTGACAAGACACAGGTGGTTACTAATATTTTTTTATATCTATGGAAGTTTGCTTTGTTACCAAGTATTTGGTCAATTTTTGAGAAGGTTCCATGGGCTGCAGAGAAGAAGGTATATTCTTTTATATTTGGGTGGAATGTTCTGTAGATATCTGTTAAGTCCATTTGAGTCAATACCTCCAATAATTCTCTTATTTCTCTGTTGGGTTTCTGTCTGATTGATCTGTCCATTGGTGAGAGAGGTGTGTTGAAGTCTCCTACTATTAGTGTGTGTGGTTTGATGACTGCCTTGAGTTCTAGAAGTGTTTCTTTAACATATGTGGGTGCCTTTATATTAGGGGCATAGATATTCAGGATTGAGACTTCCTCCTGATGAATTGTTCCAGTTATGAGTATGAAATGTCCATCTTTATCTCTTCTGATATATTTTAGTCTGAAGCTAACTTTGTTAGATATTAGAATGGCCACATCTGCTTGTTTCTTAGGTCCATTTGCTTCGAAAACCTTTTCCCAGACCTTTACTCTGAGTAGATGTCTGTCTTTGTGGTTGAGGTGTGTTTCTTGTAAACAGAAGAATGTTGGATCCTGTTTTTGTATCCAATCTCTAAGTCTGTGCCTTTTTATAGGTGAATTGAGTCCATTAATATTAAGTGATACTAATGACCAGTGGTTGTTGACTCCGGTCATTTTTTTGGGTAGTAGAATGTATGTGTTTTCCTTCTTTTAGTTGTGCTTGTGAAGGGTCGCTAGATGCCTGAGTTATTGTAGGCGGTGTTGGGAATGTTGGATTCCTTGAGTTGTGATTTGCCTTCTAATACTTTCTGTAAGGCTGGATTTGTAGCTACGTATTGCTGAAATTTGTTTTTATCCTGGAATATTTTGTTTTCTCCGTTGATAGTGAACGATAGCTTGGCTGGATATAGTAGTCTAGGCTTGCATCCATGGTCTTTTAGTTTCTGCAGTACCTCTCTCCAGGACCTTCTGGCTTTCATGGATTCCATAGAGAAGTCTGGTGTAAGTCTGATAGGTTTACCTTTATAAGTTACTTGAGCTTTATCCTTTGCAGCTCTTAATATTCTTTCTTTAATCTGACTGTTTTGTGTTTTGATTATTATATGGCGAGGGGATTTTTTTTTTTTTTTTGATCCAGTCTATTCGGTGTTCTGTATGCTTCTTGAACCTTCATAGGGATATTGTTCTTTAGGTTGGGGAGGTTTTTTTCTATAATTTTGTTGAATATATTTTCTGGACCCTTGATCTGCAATTCTTCTCCTTCTTCAATTCCTCTTATTCTTAGATTTGGTTTTTTTATTGTGTCCCACAGTTCCTGAATGTTTTGTGATGAGAATTTGTTGGATTTGCTGTTTTCTTTGGTCAGAGCGTTTAATTTCTCTATGGTGTCTTCAGAGACTGAGATTCTTTCTTCTATCTCTTGTATTCTGTTGGTTATGCTTGTTTCTGAAGTCTCTGTTCGTTTACCTAGATTTTCCATAGCCAGCCAGCCCTCGGTTTGTGATTTCTTCATTGACTCCATTTCAGTTTTCAAACCTTGAACTGTTTCCATTACCTGTTTGATTGTTTTTTCTTGGTTTCTCAGAAATTCATTTACAGATTTACTCATTTCTTCAAACTTTTTGGTATATTTCTCTTCCCTTTCTTTACTCATTTCCTCAATCTTTTTGTTATCTTATCTTCCATTTCTTTCCTGCAGATTCTCACCTCCTGTTTAAGTTCCTCTATTATTTTCATAAAGATCCGCTTAGAGTCAATTTCTTCTATTTCTTCTGGAGTAGGGTGTTCGATTCTTCTAGTTTCATGATCCCTGGATTCTGGAGATGTCATGTTGCCTTTCAGGTTGTTGGAGGAATTCTTGCATTGGCGCCTGCCCATCTCCTCCACTCTGGATGAAACTCCTCAGGACTTTCTGGATAGAACTCGTCAACCCTCTCTGGGTAGGATTCCTCAGCACTCTCTGGGTAGAACTCCTCAGCAGTGCAACAGGGCTAGCTGGTTTTCCCAGGACCCAGGAGACAAAAGGGCGGCAGCAGTGGGGGCAGGGAGGGGTTCCATGGAACACAGAAGACCCTGCCGCAGAAGCTGAGGGGGGAGGGGCTCTTCCTGGACAGGCTGGCCGCCCAGGCGAGCACCCACTCACCTCTCTGGGTAGAACTCCTCAGTAGTGCAACAGGGCTAACTGGTCCTCCCAGGACCCCAATATTTTATTTTTTTTTAAGATTAATTTTTCATTTCAAGTTTTAATGTAATGGATTTGTTTCTAGCTTAAAATATTTTATATTAACTTTAATGTTCTGTTTTAAGGATTTAATTATGAATTTTAGTTGAATATTTTATTGTTAAACATGTTTCTATTGTTTTTATTATTTATGTGTGTGTTTTTGTGTACGTGTGTGTGTGTGTGTGTGTCTGTGTGTGTCTGCACATGATTGCTTATTATCATGAAGGCCAGAGGCATTATCAGCCTGGAGCTGGAGTTACAGGTGGGTGTAAGACAACCAACATGAGTCCTGCAGCCAAACTCAGGTTCTTTGGAAAAACAATATGTGCTCTTAATTGAGGTTCCACCTCTTTAGGCCCTTGCCTTATTTACATGTGCAAAATCATAGAAAATGGTATAGGCAACAGTCATATATTCACATGTAGCCTTAAAATTTTCACTTGTGATTTCTAATTATGATGTCTTTCAGAAATGTCTTTTCTTTAAGTGACCAATTTTGTCTTGAATGACATACTTGTTTCTTTACAAAGCTTCCACTGTATCCTTGATCAGAATCTTATGTTAAATTAGGTACTTCTTTGAGAACATGTATAACTATAACCAGTGAGGTTCATGTAAAGTAAGAATCAATGTCTAGATTTGGGGCTACCACTCAGAACCTGGCCTGGGTTAATGTAGACAGATGTATATGTCCCACCTGATTCTGGAGCTGTACAGTCCCAGAGAAACATATGGAAGCTCATATTATTTATGAACTGTTTGACTTATTAGCTCAGGCTTATTATTAATTAGCTATTACAGCTTAGATTAACCCATAATTCTTGTCTCTATTTAGTCCCGTGGCTTGTTACCTTTTCTTTGTAAGTCATTCTCATCCTACTTCCTCTGCATCTGATTTGTGACTGATTCTCTGCCTTTCATCTTCCCAGAATTCTTCTAGTCTGGTTGTCCCAGCATTGATTCCTGCCTGGCTACTGTTCAATCAGCATTTTATTAAACCAATATGAGTAACAAATCTTTACAGTATAAGACCCTTATTCCACAGTATTAAAAATTCTTAGCCAAATGGCTTTTTTTTGTATGGATTTATATCCCAAACTTTGGGTTACAAATGTGGTATGAATGAAAAAAATCCAGAGATAGATATTGGGCTTTAATTGGAACATCAGAAAAGCAAAGTAGCCAAGCCACTAGAGAGCTTTTAACTCTACGAAATAATCAGACTGAAAGAGAAGGAATTCTTGTCTCATAACACTTCATATTCTTTTCTAAGGCTGGGATTAAAGGTGTGAGCCACCTGGATCTGTTTCTGCATTGATCTTGTGTAGCCCAGTGTTACCTTGAACTCACAGAGATCCATCTGCCTTTGTCTCCCAAATACTGGGATTAAAGTTTTATTTTCTGGCCTTCAGACAGCATTTTTATAAAACATACATAAATTATCACTATAGGTTAATTAGTTGTTTTCCCCATACAGGTTGTTTGATGGTCCAACACCCATGTTTATTATCACAGACCCAGACATGATCAAGAAGGTGCTTGTAAAGGAATCCTATTCTGTCTTCACAAACCGAAGGGTAAGTAACTTCTTTTTTAATTAAAAAAAATGAAAGATTTATTTTTGCTGTGTTTATTGATGTGTTTGTATGTGTGTCCATATGGCTCAATGCTATATGTGTATAGGTTCCTGTGGAGGCCAGAAGAGAATATGAGTCTCTTCTACCTTTTATCTGGTGTTCCAAGCACTTGTGTGTTGCCTGACATGGGTGCTGGGAACTTAACCAGACTCAGTCAAAATATCAGAAAGCACCTTTAATCACTGAGCCATCACCCAAGCTACCCCCTTTATTAATGCATGCCTTTATATTTTACTTATTGAATTTTTGGAGACAGTTTTTCTCTGTGTAGCCCCAACATTCCTGACACCTATTCTGTAACCAAAGTTTGTCCCAACTCAGTGATCTGCCTGCCTCTGCTATCCAAGTGCTATATTTAAAGGCATGTGACAGTGCTGTCGAGTGAGACTGGGTATGTGGAATTTTTTTGTCTCTTTCAAGACAGGGTTTCTAATATAAAATTGACTATCCGCGAATTCACTTTGTAGGCCAGGCTGGCCTCAAATTCACAGAGATCTGCCTTCTTCTGTCTCCTGAGTGCTTGTATAAAGGTGTACAACACCATGACCTGGCTACTTCTTTAATTGAATGAATGAAACAAATATATATTCCCAATGGTCTTCATAATAATATGCAAGCAGGATATAGTCAGTCATTTTGCTAATGAGGAATTGTAAATGTACTAAATTATTGTGATCCAGTTGTAGATGGACACTGTTGTTATCTAAATTGTGTTTACATTTTCTGTTTAATGGGTCTTTTCTTATGTCTGTGTGGATCAGTACAGTTTATCACAGATCTAGATTTGTGTGGTGACAGACACTCAGAAAAGAGAGCTGCTTCTTTACCTGCATTTTCCTCTTGGTAGCCCTTTAACTCCCTTGTACAGCCTGCCTTCCTCTCTTCACCTTGTATATCCATTTCTCTTCGCACTAGATGTTGTGGTCAGGGTCAAATCTGATGATTATTCACTTGGCTCTTATGTGTGGATCCTCTTGTGTACAAATTATATCTTTTTGAGATAAGATCTCAAATCTAAAGCTTTTTTTAAAGTTTATTAAATTATGAAAGTTTTCATTTCCGCCCCTCCTCCCAACACCCTCCCCCTCCCCCCTCCCCCTCCTCCTCCCTCTTCATCCCTAAGAGCAGTCAGGGCTTCCAGCCCTGTGGGAAGTTCAAGCTCCTCCCAACTCCTTCCAGGTCCCTGAAGATGAGTATCCGAACAGACTGGATCCCAAAAATCTAGCATATGCAGAGGAAACAAGTCCCAGTGTCATTGTCAGTGGCTTTTCAGAAAGGCTCCGGACCAGCCACATTCAGAGATCCGGCCACATTCAGAAAATCTGGTTGGATCACATGCTCGTTCAGTCCCAGTCCAACTGGCCTTGGTGAACTCTCATTAGATCAGTCCCCTTGTATCAGTGGGTGATCGCACCCCTCGCTGTCCTGAGTTTTTTTCATGTTCTTCCTTTTTCTGCCCCTCATTTGGACCATGGGGGGCTCAGTCCGGTGCTCCAATGTGGGTCTCCATCTGTATCGCCATCGTCAGATGAAGGATCTATGGTGATAAGCAAAATCTTCATCAGTATGGTTATAGCCCAAGGCCGGTTCAGGCACCTTCTCCTCTGTCTAGAGAACAGTCTGGGGATCTCTCCTTGGACCTGGGATCCCATTTATAATCAAGTCTCCTGTAAACCCTAAAATGACTCCCTTAGTTGAGATATATTCTTCCCTGATATCATATCCATCCTTCCTCCCTACCCCCATCCCAGTCCACCTAGCTTTCCCCATTCCTCCACTACTCCCTTCTCTCTAACCCTCTCCCCTTCCAACAACCCTCCCACCCCACCATGCACCCGAGGTTACCTGGGACTCTTGTCTGTTTCCAATCTCCAGGCAGATTTTCAACAGGTTCACCTTCTTATTTAGCTTCTCTAGGATCACGAATAATAGGCTCAAAGACCTTTAATCATGGTTAGAATCCACATATGAGTAAATACATACCATATTCCTCTTTTTGGGTCTGGCTTACCTCACTTAGTAAGGCGTTTTCTATTTCCATCCATTTGCATGCAAAATTCAAGATGTCATTGTTTTTTACCGCTGAGTAGAACTCTAATGTGTATATGTTCCTCACCTTTATTAACCATTCTTCTATTGAAGATACGATACTTAGTTCAATGTTCTCTCTTTCTCTCTCTCTCTCTCTCTCTCTCTCTCTCTCTCTCT